TATGATGGATTGTTTATGTGCACCTTTAATTCTACATTTTAAGGTTGCAACCTTATATAAACTTTTCCTTTAGTTTTGTGATCTACTTTAAAATTATAAATAAATAATTTTAAGAAAATATAATTAAGTTCCTAAGCACCTTCATCTAACCTGGGAAAATTATGTAATCTTGATCGTCTTCGAGCACTTTTTGCGTGGGGATTGAGGTGTGATATATTTGTTTTTTTAGGGTTGGTGAGCTCTAAATTTTAAGCTAATAGGAATACTCCTACCTAGGGTTTTTCCGAGAGAACTAGTGCTTCTATGGGGCACAAATTCTTTTCAAGTAAGTAAAGGGTTTTCTAAAAAAAAGTTGTGAAATGGTTTTTTTATTACAAATTTACAGCATATAGTTGGGTTTAACATATTTAAAAAAGCTATACCCCCTCCAAGTCACTTTTGGAGTTGAAAAACATGCTCCTGTTCTAAAATAGCAATTTTAAAGCAAGGCTATTCAAATACCTTTATCAACTTCACTCTCGATCTCGCTAAAGGGTGAAGTATGTATAAGGTGTCAACCTTATACTATTGAAGTAAGGTATACCTCAAAACTATGCCAAAAATACAGTTTCAGTATTGCAAAACCTTACAATGATGTGAAAATCTATTGTTGCCCCCAATTATGAAATTTAAAGTTCCATAAATGGTAACGATTAAGTAGATAATCTTGAAAATGGATGGTCCAGATAATGTATTAGAAGATGAATTATTTTTAGGACTAAAAATTCTCATGTTTTCATGTCTATGAATCTTGAATTCCAGATAATCAATTTGAAGGTTTTCCAACATGGAACAACCTTCTCTAGTGGGTTTTTTAGGTGTACCTTATTAGTACAGTATAAGGTTGACACCTTATATAAATTTTTTCCCTCTCTAAAATCTCATTTCTCTTTCTCTCTCTTATTAAGGTATCTCTAAAATCTCATTTAGTAAACACCTCGCTCTCTATAGTCTCGCACTTGCACACACTCTCTCTCTAAAGCAAAAAGATTTCATGTTCTTGAGGGAGTAAGTGTATTGTTTGCTCTTACGGGAACATAGTATACATCTCCTTTCGAAAATCTCTTCACTTGACTAAACACCTTCTCTATCTCATGTTCTTGAGGAGTAAGTGTACCGTTTGCTCTTGCAGGAACATAGTATACGCACTCCTTTCTAAAATCCCCTCATGACTAAACACCTTCTCTATCTCTAAAAGCTATGTTCTCTCTCTAGTAATCTCCAAAGATTCAGTCACCCGTATTTCTTTTTTGGATAATTTAGTAGAGAAGAGAGACGCCTCTACTTGTTTTTTCAAATAGTTTAGTAGGTAGCTTTTTGAAAGTGTTAGTAAAGTGATATGTGTAAAAATGGAAACACACAAATAGTTTAAAAATTCGTTTTTTTTTAACGGGTTAATGAAATAGTGTTAGTGAGAATAAAAACCACAACGTGATAACCAGAGTGTAAAGGTGCTACTGTGGCAACTCCAAAACCCTTTCCCCATGTTTCAATCTTTAAGATGCGTGAACATGTATTTAAAGTACCTATGCTTGGCTATTCAAGGAGGTATGGAAAGAAGCAAATAAGAGACTTTCAGCCGCCATTTTTAATTAGAAATAATATTTATTTTATTCAATTTGTAGATAAGCATAATGTTCTTTTATGGTTTGATGATGCGTCCTCATGCCGTGGATACTTAAAAACTGCCATCCTCATATAAGGGCTAAAAATAAATTTTGTTTTGTCTTTTATTTTAGTTTAAAAATGATATTAATTTAAAATTTGGGTTCTAGCCTCACTTTCGTATGTAGAATAAAAAATAATAATGATAAATTATTTTGAACAAAAACATTGATAAAAATAAATTGAGGGGTATTTTGGTATTTTTTTAGCTATTATACATCTACACCCTAGTACTCATATAAATATTTTATTTAAATAAAAAATATAAAATCAATTATTGGCTGTTACATACCGCCTTATAAAACCTCAACCATTGAAAAGGTGATGTGCACTGTTCCACTTGTCTACATCATATTCATTCTTCTATTGCCCTTCTCAAGAGGTGAAGTGCGCACGCGGATGGTTTTTTTAACCGAAAATCAAACCTCAAACACCCTTCTATTGCAAAAACTCATTCAGGTTATTTTTACCTTAATCCCAATTCCTTCTTTTTCCTTTTCATTTTCTCAAAATGATTATTGGTTTTATTATATATATATATATATATATATATATATGAAAACACTACGCAACACCTATAGGCGAAAATGAACCATTGATTTCACTTATGCTCATCACCGTCCAAAATTCATCGTATGATCACAGTTATCCGGTAGTGTTTCAATTTTTCATTTTTTTTTTTACAAATCGGAATGATCTGAAATTTGCAGCGTGTGTTCATAAAAAATAGGCGAACCTAATAAAAGTATAGAAAAATAATTTGTAAAATATAAATTGATCAAAATACCCTTGAAAATTTATGGAGGTATTTTGATCAAATTATATTTTACAAAATATTTTTTTCATATTTTTATTAGGTGTGCCTCACTAAGATGTACATACACTCCAAATTTCAGATCATTCCGATTTATAGAAAAATAAATAAAAATTGAATAACTATCGGACAATCGTTACCGTGCGATGAACTTTGGATGGCGATCAGCATAAGCAAAATCACTGTTCATTTTCGCCTATAAGAGTTGAGAAGACTTTTCCATATATATATATATATATATATGAGTATTTTAATATACTCAACATTTATGGATACTCATTGCTCTTTGTTTTATATTAAAAATTTTTTTTTTGAATAAGGGCATTTTATCGTGATTAGGCTAAATATTTCTATTAAAAACCATTGGTATTTGACTAGTGTTTAAGAAGCAATTATTGCTCCATGTGGATAACGTCCTATATCGTTAATAAATGCTTATCTTTCTATTACAATTTTCTACTTTGTCTTAATTGATTATCTAAAATTCCCTTGGATAAAAAAGTTACTACATATAGATAAGGGTATCAAGTGTCCAAAAATATTGAGTACCTTAATAAAATATTTATGAGCACCCTAACATAACCCGATAATTATATGCTCGATGCTTTCTCCAAAAATAGTCCCCATTAAACCCACTCTACAAATAATTTTTAGGACTTCAAATTTGGGGGCTGAAAGCCGATAACCTCCTCAATTTGGTGGTCAATCAATCACAAGTTCCTCAAATGCCTCACGAACATAGCAAAAAAATAAAATAAAGGGCTAACCCAAAAGAAAAATAATCATATGCATTTGCCTAGAAAAAAGACATTCTCAGATTGGCTAGAAATCATCCAATTTTTGGATATTAGGTCCAAGTGCTTAAAGAAACTTCCCTTCACTTGATATTTCATCCAATGGAGCAACTATACATTTTCGTCCTTAAAGAGCAAGCTATGAGAACTCATTATATATATATATATATATATAAAAAAAAAAGAAGCCTTGTATTCTGGAAGTCACAATTACTTTTGTCGCATCAGGTTTCAATTTGGGGGGCTGTTATACTGTTATTAATGGAGCAGGTATACATTTTCGTCCTTAAAGAGCAAGTTAGGAGAACTCTTTTTAATAAAAAGTATACAATAGACTTTTTATTCGTGGTACAAAGAGATCACAATCACTTTTGTCCATGAGGTTTCAATTTTGGAGCTTGTAATAGTGCCATTAATTAGACTCAAAATATATAAAAACATAAAAAATTCCCAAGCTCAGTGACACACCTTAAGTCTTCTAATAGCTACGAGTACTTGTGATCTCCTTGTAACTAAGATAAATGATCTCATAGTATACAACACCTATAATTAATTTTTATTATCATATGATAAAGTTTGGGCACACCTTACTTGAACAAGATCTATTTTGTTAGTTGTACATCCGTTTTCAGTAACACAACAAAGAAACACAACAATCTAGAAAATGACATGATGCCATGTGGCCAGAGTGCGGATTTGACGTTGGGTCCCACATGTCTCCTTCAGCCTCAGAGGGTTGCTTTCATCAATCCAACGGCTAATGAGATAGCCACTTGACCGTTTGATAAATCAAAATCTTTTAGGAATAGGCTCAACACTAGGTAGTCAGGGTGGTGGGTTGCAACAATATAATGTCTTGAGTTAGGGGACACCCCAATAAACTACCCAAAAAAAAAGAAAAAGGAAAATAGTTTGATAGGGCTATATCAAAATAAGTAAAGCCTCATCTAATGACTCATGGAAAATTGCAATTCAAGTACTGTGACCATTCATTTCACCCTAAAAATAAGTGTTCAAAGATCCACAAGATATATACGATTGTTTGAGTTTCGAATTTTATTGTCAATATTGAAAATTGATTTTAGAACCATCATAGAAATTTCCGTGGCCAAAAGTGCTTTCTATGCTAGAATTTAAGGTGAGACTTTATTTACTTTTCATATATCCTTTGAAAAAGGGGTGTGGTTTCTATTAGGTTGCAACCTTAAACAATCCATATAAGGTACACTTTCAAATTTTATCATAATATATAATTTTTACTTGAAATGTTTTTAAGATTATCTCAAAATCTATTTTTATAAAATTTTAAAATTTAAAAATAATTAAAATCATATAAATATAAAAATATTGAAAATGGACGATCTAAAATATATGTTACAAAATGGCTATTTATGGGACTCAAATCTTTGTATTTTTCCTCGTATATCTTGACGTCAAGACGATCAATCGCAGGGCTTTTTAACATTAAAATTGAGGTGCATCCATGGTTCTACATGGTGCAGGGACCCTTTCACGACAAAATAGAGCATGGAAGATCACTTTTCGTCCCATCTTCTCACGAGAAGTCAGATGGAAGCAAGCGACCTTTATATTAAAAAAAAAAAAAATTATCTCTCTTACTAAATGCCAACAACTACAGGCTTCTTTTTCTTTGAGATGTGCTACACATCAACGTCACCCATGCTTATCACTCTCTGAACTTTTAATTTTTATTTTTTATTTCTGACCTCTTCGTCAACGCTCTCACCTTAAAACGTTACCCATTTTCCTCCTTCGCTCATCTCCCTACTCTCTCTCTTTCTCTATCTACAATGGAGACGATAACCAGAAACAGTAAAAGTTGCTGCAGGCTAATACTTACTATGACTTTGTCTTGGAAACGCAGAGTGCGACCAAGGCAAGTGCATTACCACTCTTATGTCTTTCTCTCACTACACTGCCTAGTCAAACTGGACTGAATTATAATAATGTATTCGCGTGTTTCTCTATTCTTTTGTTGACTGCCATCCATTAATGTATTCAGTCGACCCATATACATGTTGTGGAGTTATGATACAGACTGTGAAAATGGGTTGTGCAGGTGAGGTGGCGTGGAAGAACTGGAGAATGGGGGTTCGCATAACCATGGCTGACACTCTGTTCATCGGCTTCCTCATCCTCCTTTTGGTCAGAGTTTCTTCTGCTTTGCCATTGTGTACTGATTCCAGTGAGTTCTTATTTCTCTGCTCATACATGTTCCATTTCTTATTCTTTGCCCCCCCCTTTTTTTTTTCTCTTTTGTGTGGGGTTCTTTTTTTTACCTTCTGATTTCTCTGGGAGCTTCAATTGGATTTAGTATCTTTATGGTTCTTCATTTCATGTGGTTCTTGATTTCTCTGGGAGCTTCAATTGGATTTAGTATCTTTATGGTTCTTCATTTTCATTAATGCAAGAAAGAGAGTGAGCTTTGTGGCTTTTTTTTTTTTAATGTGTGCAGGGGCTCCCCTTACTTCAAAGGCTTCACTCTCCTTCTGCCCTTACAATGGCACCATATGCTGCAACACGAAGCATGACTCTGATTTGCAGAAGCAATTTGAAAGCATGAATGTCTCTGACCCCAGCTGTGCTTCCCTCCTCAAACAAATTCTCTGCGCGGTTAGCCTCCTCAATTCCCCTTTTTTTTTTGCTTAGTTCCTCTCTCTCTCACTCTCTCTCCCTCTCTCTATATCTCTCCGTAGTAAATTATTTGAACCATTGTGCATATTGAGGTTTCAAGTGATGTGGATCAGAGCACCTGAATCAGGTGATGCCCCTTAGTATACTGATTTTCTGGCTATGTGTTGCAATATGAATCCTTTATGCCAATTTCCACTGGTTATGTTAAAAATGAAGCTGTATGGTCTTTGTGAGTGTGAAGAGCTCTTAGTTGCGAGATACACTGAGTATTTTGATTCTAATGCTTCTAATGAAGGCCCTGGAACTGCCTCTACATGCCATGCAGAATTGGTGAGAACTTGAGAGACGGGCCTAACCGACTTTGGACAAACTTCAACTTGCAGATATAAAATCAATGATGACGTTGAATATCTTTGTTTTCTGATAAATGTGACATAACTTGAATATGGAGTTCACTTTAGAGTCATGGAAAAACTATCATATAGTCCTTATGGCCATATAAAATCCATAGTGATGATGGCTAATCACTGTATGACCAATTGTTGGATGGGGATTGAGAGATTGGGACACACGAAACATTACATGAACACAATGGTGGTCTGACTCTTTCTCCACCATCACATCCATTGATTGGATGGTGAGAAATCTGAAAATGGTGGATTATCTATTTTCAAGATGTTATAGGATTCTTTCCCTATAAAAGTGGCCCAGAAAATATTGACTTGATTACTCTAAACATCTCCATTTGACACAACCATTGATCTTTATCATGAGCTTAATGACTTACTGAGAAGTACACCTCTTATCAATAATACACAGATACACACCAATGAATCCATGCATACGCACATCAGTTTGTTTCTTAATGGAATCAATTTTCCAATTGTAATTGTGGTGATACAAATGTTAATCCAATGCTAGGTTCTTTATATTAAACTTTGCCTCTCAGTTTCGAAGGTGGTATCACCATGGATTTCACATATCTTTTGCTGAAGATTCTTTGTGCTCTTACAGCAGCTATTTCGTCTCTTGCAGAAATGCGATCAGTTCTCTGCAGAGTTATTTGATATCAAATCAGGGGCACGACCAATACCTGTTCTGTGCAACTCAACTGTCTTAATGAACTCATCCCAGTCAAATGAGGCAGCTCAAAACTATTGTTCAAAGCTATGGAGGACATGTGAGAATATATCTGTGTGGAATTCACCATTTGCACCTTCATTGCAAGGCCCTCGAGCTACAGTTAATTCTACTCCTTCTAAGATCACTGATTTCTGGCAATCAGAAAAGGACTTTTGCAACGCATTTGGTGGTGCTTCAAGTGATGGACATGTCTGTTTTGAAGGTGGTCAGATTTCACTTAATATGACTCAAGCTGAGCCACCTCCTCAAGGTCTTTGCGTCGAGAAAATCGGCAATGGTAGTTACCTGAATATGGTTGCTCATCCTGATGGTTCTAACCGAGTTTTTGTGTCTAGCCAAGATGGGAAGATATGGCTGGCTACAGTACCAAAAGTGAGATCTGGCAGCACATTGGAACTTGATGTTTCTAGCCCCTTTTTAGATATAAGTGATATACTTCACTTTGATGCACAGTTTGGACTTATGGGCCTTGCATTTCATCCCAATTTTGTGAACAATGGTCGTTTCTTTGTGTCATTTAATTGTGATAAGACTCAGTGGTCGGGCTGTGTTGGTAGGTGTTCCTGTAATTCTGATGTCAACTGTGATCCTACAAAGCTGGGTTCTGATGGCGGTTCTGCCCCATGCCAGTATCACAGTGTAATTGTAGAATATACTGCTAATGGGACTTCAACCACACCTTCCCAGGTACTTCTTTCCTCTCAGATATTGCTGCTCAATTTGTGGGACTTGGAACCTGATCTGATTCACATGTCTCCAGTGTGACCTTTTTTTTTTTCCAGGCAACAACTGCCAATCCATCTGAGATGAGAAGAATATTTACAATGGGTCTTCCTTACACGTCTCATCATGGAGGTCAGATTCTTTTTGGGCCTGAAGATGGATATTTATATTTTATGATGGGTGATGGTGGTAACAGAGGTGATCCTTTCAATTTTGCTCAAAATAAGATGTCATTACTTGGAAAAATCATGCGACTTGACGTGGATAAGATGCCAAGTGAGTCACGAGAACAAAGTAGCTATTTTCAAGGAATTATTCTGTATTCATTTGTTCCTTTCTTTCATGCATCCATTTATGCTTAGTTATGAGCACTAAATTTCATTCAATTTGTTTTAAACAATGATAAAACTAGATAGGTGTGGCTCAATGTGTGATTCTTTGCTTGCTGTTTTGTCTGGTTCAATAATACCACTTATCCTAGTGAGTTTTACGGTGAGTTTCACATCTAGAAATCCCTACCAGCCTTTTGGCTTGTGCAACATCTTCTCACATGTTAGAAAATATGATCTACATGGTAGAATAGACATTCCAAGTTCAATTTTGAGCCAGCTTTAGCTTGATTGAGAAAAAAGTCTTGGACATTTGGCCAGTTCTGGGACAGCCTATGTTTTATATTAATTCAAAAGTGAAAAGTGCTCAGTTGTTCTTCGTCTGCCCTCATTGGTGTCTGACACTTGAAGGGTGATTGGAACACCATAGGCCACACCAGATGTTGTTTCTGATGTTTGGTACATGGAAGTTCATCCACATGGAGAAATAAAAGCCCCTCCCCTGTGTTTATTGACAGCCAACACTTCAGGTCTCCTCTTTTGTTAAATCTGTGCTATTGGGAAAGCAAGTAGAGATTCTTTGTGGTCCGAATATCATCAATTCCTTTCAAAAAGTTGCTGCTTGACCTATCAATAACTTGAAAAACTCGCAGTTGCCTCAAATCTATCTTACAATGGAGATGCGTAGTTTACATACCTTATGCAAACCGTAGTTTTCAATTCTTACGAACTATCGGGAGATCAAACTTATGAGCTACACTATAAATTTGTGGGAGAGAGTGATTGAGCAACGACTACGACATGAAACAAATGTATTAGAAAATTAGTTTGGTTTTATACAAGGAGGTCAACCATTGAGTTTCCTACTTAGGCAATTGATTGAGAAGCATAGAGATAAGGGAAAAGACCTCTACATGGTCTTTATTATTTTTTGAAGAAATTCAAAAGTACCTTTACATGGTCTTTATTGATTTGGAGAAAGCACACTATAGGGTACCTAAAGAGTTAATTTGGTGGGTGTTGGGAAGGAAAGGAGTCTGTAGCGGATAAATTGACATAGTGAGGGATATATACGAGCAGCACTGACTAGTTTAAGGACAACCAATGGAGAGACAAGTGAGTCTTTAGTGACAGTAGGCCTGCATCAGAGGTCAGCGTTGAGCGCATATCTTTTTGCTTTGGTTATGGACAAGGTAATTAGGCATCTATAGGATGAGGTCCCGTGATATATGTTATTTGTAGATGACATAGCTTTAATTGATGAGACTAGAGATGGTGTCAACGCAAGGTTGGAATTTTAGAGGAATGCTCTAGAATCTAAAGGTTTTAAAATTAGCCGGACTAGGGTAGAATATATGGACTGCAAGTTTTTTAGTAATACGAGTAAAAAACGAGGAATTAGTGAAGATTGATGGCCAAGAAGTACCTAAAAGAGAATATTTTGTATATATTGGATCTATAATCCATGAGAATGGAGAGATTAAGGAATATGTCGTGCATAGAATTAGAGTTGGGTGGATAAATTGGCGATGTGCTTCTCGAGTCTCATGTGATCGTCGCATACTAATGAAAGTGATGGGGAAGTTCTTTAGGGTAGCTGTAGGACTAGCCATGCTTTATGGGACAATAATTTGGGCAGTCAAGAAACAACATATTCATAGAATGAGTATGGCTAAGATCAGATATTGAGATGGATGAGTACAATACAAGAAACGATAAATTCGAAATTAAGACACCTGAGGGAACCTAGGGATAGCTTCAATAAGAGATAAGATGAAGGAAAATAGATTTAGGTGCCCTAGCCACTTGCAATGTTGACCTAGAATAACACCGGTTAGGAGGGATCTTTTGGTTCAAGTGGAATGCTCTAAAGGGGAAAGGGGAAGGCCCAAATGGACATGAATGGAAGTAGTGAGAAGAGATTGGTGACTTATGGCCTGACTGAGGGTATGACCCTTGATAGAGCGGAATTGCAGGACATGATCTGAGTAGCCCAGCCAAATAGTTGGGATAAGGCTCAGATAATGATGATGATCTCTTTAGATCTTTGATACATATCAAAGTAGGGATCTATGAATCAAACCAGAGGCTTATGAGAATAGTGATTCTCATCATTGAATAATGTAGCCCTTTGGGGTTATATAAAGTGAAATATCTAATGCTATAATAGCTAGACAGCTGGGCAACAATGTCACAGCCAAGGTATGCATGTATTACGCAATGATGTTTATGTCCTTGAACAACTCAAATTGGACAAATATAACCTCTTGAATGATGCAAGAAGGACAGTTCTTACAGAATACAGTTGACAATTCTGTCCACGGTACTTGTTTCCTCAGTACTTCATAATTCTTTTGTATACTTCTATAAGGTCAATCATAAACTGGTTAGCAGTGGTAGAGGAGGCAGCAGTTGGCTCACTGATGTGGCCTCAATTTTGGTCTTGCATGATTCTTTCCCTGAGTATAACCTAATCAGGGTCAAATCCAGATGAAGCCAAAAAATAAATATGATAAATCATAAGTAAGATTGAATGGCTCAAGAACCGTTCCAATTGAGATCAAACCCTCTTTCGACTTGTTTAATTGTTTTTGCCATGTGAATATTAATGGTAAAGGATGTGGTTTGTCACGTGCCTCTCTCCCATTCTCCCTCTCTGCTGCCCATGCCATCTCAGCACTCAGCCTCTGGGTTGCCAGCATGGGGCATGGGGGTATGTTAATATACAGTCAATCTTATTTCCCCCCCATCCCAAAAAAAAAAGAATATTAATGGTAGAGCATTGACAGGACCTGTTTTTATTTGGTGTGACCATATGGGGTCCAAATATAGGAAGACACAAATATTTTTCTCTGTGAATTAGAATGTTGATATTAAATTGATAGTGCTTCGATATCAGCTATAAATGGCTCACAGGTTTATGTATCTTCAACATTTCTTGCTACAAAAATCTTCCTCAGTTCCCTTTTCTAATGTAGTTGAATTTTATAATAAATGGCAAATGTATAACATTTAATATGATGCCACTTATTTATATCGCGTTTCGTCCTTATTGCGTGCAATGAAGCTGTAATTCTAAAAGAAAAAAAGCATTCCATGAAGCTTGAAATAATTGAATTGCCAAACAGTACACTCTTTTGTCAACTGCTTTGAATAAATATTCTTTTTGCACCATTGATGCAGTGGGACCCATTTTTGTGGTTTTTCTCCAGGTGCTACAGAAATAGATGACCTACGGCTTTGGGGAAACTATTCTATTCCGAAAGATAATCCATTTTCTCAAGATAATAAATCGCAACCTGAAATTTGGGCATTGGGCTTGAGAAATCCTTGGCGGTGCAGTTTTGATTTGGAACGACCGTCTTACTTTGTCTGTGCGGATGTTGGGCAGGTCCAAAGTTTGTCATTTGGCTATGTGTTTTTACTATCAGAATCATTACTTATGTTTACGATTTTATCATATGTTGCTTGCTGATGGCATGTCATAATCATCATCGAGATTCTCATTATTGTTTTCACTATTCTCAAATGTCTCCATTTTAATCACTTAAAGGTAACATTCTTAGCTCAAGGTTTTGGATGCGGCTTCTATTGACATTTGGAATTATTTATGGACTTGGGTGAAATAGTGAAAATTTCCCTTGGATAGCATTTTTAAGCACATAATATTTTGGATATATCCTCACAAAATGTTACCTCGTTTTTCTTTATACATACTATTGGAGATTTGTTCAATTATAATACTGGGACATTTTCCTTTGTCTGAAGTTTTCATTTCTGGACTACATGGTATTGGGTCCTTCTGCTTCAGATTATATTATATTGTTTCATGTACTGTCCTGATATTTTATATGCTAGTGTTGTATACTAAGTATGGCAAAAGGTATCGAGGATTACATTGTTATATATCTATGTTATGTGCAATGTTTGCTTGTAAGTTCATCTGTATAATCGTGAAATGCAGGCTCATATCCTTCATTTCAGCATCCATGTTTATATTCACATTACTTAGACATCATACTTGTAGATGCAGTGTCATGTGGGTTTTTTCATAGGGTCAGATCACCGTTTATCTTGTCCAAACATGGAGTGATTTAGTGTGCTGTTATGATTCCACAGATTGAATGTAGACTAGTGTGGTATTGAGTGACCAAAATGTTTCTGTTCTTACATGTATAAGGGAACAAGGAAAGTTGTCCTCTTAAAACTATCCATTATATAATAGTAAACAGTTTCCAAAAAAAAAAAAAAATACCAATATATAAACACTACATAAATACATGCTTGCTCTAACGTGGATCAAGATGAATGGTTGAATGATGTTTATCACTTCATTGTAAATTCGAGCAACTGGCAAATCCTTTTATGATCTCCAGTGAGAGTAGCATTTCATCTTTCAGTATCCTACGCTGATTTGTGGTCATATATCCTTCATGATATGTTATCTTGTAATATTTTGACTCTAATTGACAATTCTTCTGACTGGCATGGGTGTATTTCAAGAGAAAAGTGTTATAAGTTTAAGATATTTTTATTCATTTTCACAAGATGGTTCCAATAAACTCTGTAGAGTCAATAAAAATTCTTCAACCATACTTTACATTGGTTACATACTTCTTCAAATCGATCATAACGGGGATCTAGTACCCACTCCTGGAAAGCTACAGTTAGGTGTAAATCTGACTACAAGTTCAATACTCTATCAGATGGATCATTACTGGATATGAGGCTTACCTGGTAGAGAAAGGTTACATTGAAGAATATGAGTTGATAATGATGAGGTACTTCCAGTTATTCTAGAACTAACTACTTTCTGGGTTCTTCTATTTGTCACTATTGCTTGTGACTTGCTGTTATATGGGATAGGAAGCAAAGTATGCCCTTTTCTTACAAATAGCCTGCCTTTGGTGCTTCAAAGACAAAGCAAAAAACAAGCTAATTTCACGTGAAATTTGCTTGTGTTTTCCAGTATCCATATTCTTTGAGGCTTGGATCAGATTGTGATCAGCTGAAAAATGATATAGGGAACCAAACCCCTAATTACTTGAGAAAACTTCCTTAGGGTTCAATACTCTTAAGATTAGGATTAGGGCTTGGGTTACAAGTTCAAATCCTACTACTGAACTGCCAAAGAGAAAAACTCTCAGGTTCAATAGAAGCTTTTATTGAGAAAGCTATAGGGTCTCAGTTGAAAAATTGAATTTAGTTCTGTTCGGTTTTGCGGCCTTTAAAGGCCTAAAGAGCTTGTAAAACTAATGTATAGTGGAATATGTACTTTCAGTGGGAGCGTGTGTGGTCACTAACCAAGGGTTAAGCGGTTTATGGCCCTGGTCATGATTAAAACCCTTGGCCCTAGGCATGTGGCATAACCGAAAAGGGTTTGCAATGGGTCATCCCTTGTTGAGGTCGAAGAGATGCCCAAAGATTATGTTTGAAGGCTAGAAGAATTGTGTGGTCTCTTGTGTGCGGTTAGAAGCTTGTGAGAGCAAGGGCCAAATCCTCAACAAACTTCCACACAACATGTACTATGACTGTTGCATGGGAAGCAACCCTTTTTACAGGGACACGTGTACATGTGCATTGAGAGAACCCCTTTTGTATTGTAGTGATAAGTGCTAGACTTGCTCTTAAAAGGCGAAACTGTAATCCACATTCCAGGATCATAGTCCCACTGTTTTAATATCCAACTTTGATAGTTCAATCATGAGCCCCTGTAAAGAGACTGTGGGTCATAGGACTTTGTTGGGTTGGGTAAGAGAACATTTGTGGATCATGGGTTCTGAGGCGAGTGGAGTGCCCATAGTGTCGCTTCTTTTGACTCATTAGTACCAATCCACTCCTAGTATATTTTATATTTGTATTATAAATGTTTCTTTTGATTTTTAAATATTTTCTGCATTTTAAAATATTGCTTCTACTGTAAATTTTCATAAAAGGGTATTTTTGAAAATTTCATTACTTAAAAAATAACACATGTGGGACCAAGGATCCAGCTCCACATGTGGCACTCCGTGTACCCTAGGGACCGCACCCTATTTTTGTACAATAATATTCGCACATCCTATTTTATTGCTGAAGGGGGTATCACGCCACATATTCTTACAAGGGGTGTCACGCCACATATTCTTACAATGGGGGGCCAAGATTTTTTTATGGAAAAAAAAAGGGGGGTGTTATGAGCTCGGCTCACAGATCGTGTTTGATGCTGGGGAAAGTCCAACGGATCCACAATATTATCTCAGGCTAGATATCTCAGCTCTCGAGACACCCCTTTGTTCCTGGTTCTACCTATTTTGAAGAGAGCAATTCACCAAGGATAGAGATACAAGAGAGAGATAAAACTCGAGGGAAACCAACCTCCGGTAGTGCAATGCACAACAATTTTTTCATTCATGCCTTTACTTCCCATACAATGCAATATTTATAACCCTTGCCATAACCGTCTATCTACTACTCTAACCCTTGCCATAACCGTCTATCTACTACTCCATTTTCTACCCCACAACCCCTACATATTAGGAGTGTAACCTGTTACAGAAACTACCCAGTCCCACAACCCCTACATATTAGGAGTGTGACCTGTTACAGAAACTACCCAGTCCCACAACCCCTACATATTAGGAGTGTGACCTGTTACAGAAACTACCCAGTCCCTACATGAAGATCCCACTAGAATTGATCGTCCATGACTCCTAATTACATGCAAACAGTGCCACCTACATGCATCTCACTGCACGTGTCCAGCACAACACTTTATTGAATGAAAATAACACTTAGAAAACTTGGAGACGTAACATTCCTACCCTCTAAAAATCACCCTTGTCCTCAAGGGTATTTTTAGGAAATATTAGCTTCAGCGCTTTCAAATTTTACCACGTGGCCTCAGAAGGTGCAAGTCCCTTTCAGTGCACCAGAACCTCCTCTTGATGCTTCCCAACTCGTCGATCCAGAATGGCCTGCGGTTGAGATACCATGTGGTCCCCTTCTTCCTGAACAATGGGTAAATCTTCTTGAACTAAAGTCATTGTTCCGATCTTCTCCTTAAGGCAAGACACATGGAATACAGGGTGGATTTTTGAACCGCTTGGCAACTGGAGTTTGTACGCCACTTGACCTATGCTTTGAATCACCTCAAACGGCCCATAGTACCGTGGTGATAGGTTGAGGTTTTTCCGATGGGCGGCAGAAACTTGGCGATAGGGCTGAAGGCGAAGATACACTAAATCCCCAATATTGAAGCGTTTCTTAGTGTGGTGAACATCGTAGGCCTTCTTCATCCGGTTCTGGGATAATTGCAACTGCTCGCGCTTGAGAACTCGATCCCGATCTTGGAGTTCCCGATCAATTGACTCCACTTGAGTTGTGCCAGGGATATAAAATAGTAATGTGGGCGGGGCACGACCATAGACCACCTCATAGGGAGTCTTCTTTGTTGCTGTGTGCACGCTAGTATTGTAGCAGTATTCAGCCCATGCAATCCAACGGGCCCACTCCTTGGGCTTGTCACTCGAGAAACACCTAAGATACATCTTGACTGTGTGGTTTACCACCTCCGTCTGACTGTTGGTTTGGGGGTGATAGGCTTATGAGAAATTGAAGACCATGCCTTGCAAGCGAAATAATTCTTTCCAAAAGGCACTAGTAAACACCGGGTCCCTATCACAAACAATGGACTTAGGCATCCCATATAATTTAAAAATGTGGTTAAAAAAGATCTGGGCCACTGATGTTCATGTATAGGGATGGGAGATTGGAATGAAATGGGCGGCTTTAGATAGGCGATCTACTACCACAAAAATAGTAGTTTTCCGTTTGAGTTTGGAAGGCCATCCATGGACAAATCTGTCCATACCTGTAGGGGAATAAGGAGCGATTGGAGGAGACCTGCCGGTGAAGTGTTTTCCCATTTGTGGTGCTGGCATGTGTCACATTGCCTAATATGATCCCGAACATTTCTGCTCATTCCACTCCAATAAAAAACTGATTTATTGCGCTGGAGTGTCTTGTGGAACCCCTCATGTGTGCTGGAGTGTAACTCCTCGATGATTGTAGGGATTAGAGAAGATTTAGCCAGCAAGAAAATTCTATTTTTAAAGAATAGAACTCCTTCTTTGTAGTGCCATGGATCTAACGCCTCTCCTTGCTACACACGAGTCACTATTTCCTGTAGCTTGGGATTTTTTTTAACTTCTTCCTTAATGGGCTTGAGCCAGCATGGAACTGGCCTAGATAGAGCATGATTCTCACCCTTTTCTTCCATTTGGGACAACGCATCAGCCACTAAGTTTTCCTTCCCCTTTTTGTACTCAATGATGGAATCAAAGCCCATGAGTTTCATCAACCACCTTTGTTGTGCTGGTGTAGTAATTCTTTGCTCCCACAGATATTTTA